TTCAGGCGCTGCTAAAAGCAAACCAACCGAGTCCTCAGCCCCGCCTCCAGCCAGCCCACAGCCTTCTTCAGCCCCGCCTACTGCTGGTCCTATACCCACATCCCTCCCCCCTGTGCCACCCGTCTCCTCCCAACCACTGGAGACAAAGCCTGGTACGTGGCTGAGAAAGATGGCGGCTGATGTGTGATTGGTTGGCTGTCTGGTCAGGTGACATTGGTTGGCTGTCTGGTCACATGGCGTTGGCTGTCTGGTCACGTGACTTTGGTTGGCTGTCTGGTCACATGGCATTGGTTGGCTGTCTGGTCACGTGACATTGGTATATGGAGTTTAGTGATTGGACAATGACACTGAGTGGGCGTGGCAGTTCCTTAGCTGGTTGTACTCATTGGTATTGGGGGATCGGTTCGGTGGGTGGAGTTATTGACCGATAATGATCTTGCAGTGTCTGCTGTGAAGCCAACGTCCGCTGTCCACGTATCTGAGGTCCCCCCGGCTGGCAGCACTCGCTCAGAACACAGGGTAAGCCCCTCCCCCTTTCCTGACACCCGCAGGGTGCGCCCCTCCCCCTCTCCTGACACCCGCAGGCGGCGCCCCTCTTCCCTCTCCTGACGCCCGCAGGGTGCGCCCCTCTTCCCTTCCCTGACACCCGCAGGCGGCGCCCCTCTTCCCTCTCCTGACGCCCGCAGGGTGCGCCCCTCTTCCCTTCCCTGACACCCGCAGGCGGCGCCCCTCTTCCCTCTCCTGACGCCCGCAGGGTGCGCCCCTCTTCCCTTCCCTGACACCCGCAGGCGGCGCCCCTCTTCCCTCTCCTGACGCCCGCAGGGTGCGCCCCTCTTCCCTTCCCTGACACCCGCAGGCGGCGCCCCTCTTCCCTCTCCTGACGCCCGCAGGGTGCGCCCCTCTTCCCTTCCCTGACACCCGCAGGCGGCGCCCCTCTTCCCTCTCCTGACGCCCGCAGGGTGCGCCCCTCTTCCCTTCCCTGACACCCGCAGGCGGCGCCCCTCTTCCCTCTCCTGACGCCCGCAGGGTGCGCCCCTCTTCCCTTCCCTGACACCCGCAGGCGGCGCCCCTCTTCCCTCTCCTGACGCCCGCAGGGTGCGCCCCTCTTCCCTTCCCTGACACCCGCAGGGTGCGCCCCTCTTCCCTCTCCTGACGCCTGCATGCACTGTGTGCTGTTCCGCTCTTTGTGCCCTTTGCAGGTGAAGATGAACCGCATGCGTCAGAGAATCGCTCAGCGGCTGAAGGAAGCTCAGAACACATGCGCGATGCTGACCACATTCAATGAGGTGGATATGAGGTAAGTGTCCAGCGGTGGGGGGAGGGGCGGGTCCTCCTTCTTGGAGTCTGATATGGCGTCTCTCCTCCCCCAGTAACATGCAGCAGATGAGGACGCTGCACAAAGACGCTTTCCTGAAGAAACACAATCTGAAGCTCGGCTTTATGTCGGCGTTTGTTAAAGCCGCGGCCTTCGCCCTCCAGGACCAGCCAGCCGTCAATGCTGGTGAGCTGCCACTCTGAGCCCTGCCCCTTCTTACAGCCTCCAATCTGTGTCCATGATCCATTATTCCAGGCTCTGTCCCCTCCCTGCATGTTATAGAGGCTCCTCCCTCTCCAGTTTGTTCCCTCCCTGCATGTTATAGAGGCTCCTCCCTCTCCACTCTGTTCCCTCCCTGCATGTTATATAGGCTCCTCCCTCTCCAGTCTCTTCCATCCCTGCATGTTATAGAGGCTCCTCCCTCTCCAGTTTGTCTCCTCCCTCTCCACTCTGTCTCCTCCCTGCATATTATTGAGGCTCCTCCCTCCAGTCTGTCCCCTCCATTTGTATTATAGAGGCTCCTCCCCCTCCAATCCCTGGTCTCTGTCCCCTCCCTGCATACTAGACTCCCACTTACAGCTGCTCCCCGGGTGTAGGTTGAGTTCTCTTTTATGAAAGCCACGCCCCCTCCTTTCTCTTGCAGTCATTGATGATACAACAAAGGAGATTGTGTACAGAGACTATATAGACATCAGTGTGGCCGTATCTACCCCCAGGGTAAGTAGGTGAACAGTCCGGGGGGGCGGGGTTAGCAGGAAGATGTTGCTCTGACTCGCCCTGTCTCCTCCCCTCGCAGGGTCTGGTGGTTCCTGTGCTACGCAGTGTGGAGTCCATGAACTTTGCTGACATCGAGCGGACCATCGCAGAGCTGGGAGAGAAGGTGACAACCGCATCACATGACACACGCCGCCATTAACTCCTCAGTGGCCAATCAGGAAGAGCATTGGACAAACCAGTGCTGGTTCACCTTGGAAGATACCCAGAATGATTTGGGGAGGGGTAACTGCTATATAGAGCGTGACATCACACAAAGGGCAGGAAGTGGGAGGGTCAGTGATGCGTGTGGAGTATGACATCACAAACAGGGTGGGAAGTGGGAGGGTCAGTGGTGGGTGTGGCACGTAATATCCCCCACGGGGCGGGAAGCGGGAGATCTTCTGGACCTTATATATAATGGAAGCGCGTTTTCCTCGTCAGGCTCGTAAGAATGAGTTGGCGATCGAGGACATGGACGGCGGCACCTTCACTATCAGCAATGGCGGGGTGTTCGGATCCCTGTTTGGAACGCCCATTATCAATCCTCCGCAGTCCGCCATCTTGGGAATGCATGGCATCTTCGACCTCCCCTCTTTGGGCTCGTGGTCTATTACTTTGTTCGCTGGTTTCACAGGTGGAGGTGCGCCCGATGATGTACGTCGCACTCACCTACGATCACCGACTGATAGACGGCAGGGAAGCGGTCCTTTTCCTGCGGAAGATCAAGTCTGTGGTGGAGGATCCTCGTGTCCTCCTTCTGGACCTCTGAGGGATCTTCTGCACCATGCTCAATGATCTATTTACTCCCTTTCTCCCCAGTTTTAAGTTGGGGCCACAACCCCCCCGCCCCACCCCCACTGAGACAACAGGCGCCAATTCAGAGACTTGCTGTGCGCTTTCTACAGACTCCTCCTCCGGTGGGTTGGGCCATCGCCTCTTCCACCTATCAGACACTGGGTGACTCCTCCTCTCGGTTTGGCACCATATACAGAGCTGACTACGATATTTAAAGACCTTCCCGATTTTAAATGTGTAAAAAATAAATGCCGTTTATGAAAATACGTTTTGTGAGTAGAAAGCATTGTATTTGCTCAGCTGCAATATGAGACTATCGGAGTGACGTGGTAACATTGTGGAGGTGAAAGGCGACTCCCCCGCGAGGATCATGGAACTTCTCTGTGAACTCCGAAATGCTCTGTTAGGGGAACCTGCTACCCTGCCAGGTGTATAGCTCAAACATGGAGTCATGTGACCTAGTGACATCACTGCCGTCTTATGTACTGCGTGGAAGTGACCGAAATCATCCCATTAATCAAACAGCGATAATACTGTCGATGGGCGCGGCCA